TTTTTAGTAATGGCTAGTAGGAAGCCTCTGCTTAGAAATATTGGTTAAGTGGTTTTGAATAACTATACTCAGGATTTATTTTTGTCATTATCAATTAAGGATTATATTTCAAACGTCTTGATTGAAACGTTTAACACTTAAAAAAAAAAAAAAAAAAAAATTGCCTGTAATATTTGTAAGCCAATGTATGTTATTACCAAAGATTTTTCAAGCCCAATTTGTTATTTACATGCATGTCGTGTATCATCTCAATTCAAACTTTGGCGAGCACTTCCATGTAGGTGCCTTCTTCAGCAGCAGTAGGTACACACTGAAACTTCAGGTCTTCTTTTGTTCTCTAAATTTATTGGCATATGGATAAAAGTATCCCACTATGTCACTCCCGACGTCTCGACTCGGCAAATCTCCAAAAGAGTGAAAAAAAATAAGGGGGGAAAAAATAAAAATAAAAGAAAACAATAGAGAAGCGACGACGAAATGGAAAGAGAAAAAAAGAGAGGACAGTAAAAGTGAGCGTGAGAGTCGTGCGCATACATAATAAGTACACGAATAAATATGTGCACTCTATTCTACGCTGCTACCACCGCTCCACGGCTCCAGTAGTTGGTGCGTAGCCATACTATCAGGATTATCTTGCGCGAGTATCGTCGCCGCTGTTCGGGGTGTGTTCTGTACTCATTATCATTTTTTTTTTTTTTTCTTCTTTCTCTCGTCTCCATGTACACACACGCATGGGAGGCTGGCCATCTCCACCGCAACTGCGTTTTTCGCGCCTCCGGTGTGTAATTTCACGTAAAACATCATAAATCGTGCAAGATGTAAAACTAGGCTGGTGCTGATGTCCATGCGGGCGATGCAGCTCACTCGACCTCACGATCTTTGGGAGAAAAATAAGTAGGTACTTGCAGAGTACATTTTTAATCCTCTTCTCTCTATCATTGCGTGGGATGATTAGCATTTATGAGTTTCCTTATTGGAACGCGTCGCTATTAGCGTCATTTTGGAGTTTCGGAGCATAGACATTTGGGTGTGTGTACGTGTGTGTATTTTAAGATATTAGGGTTGGTGGTGTCGAATGTCGAAATACTGAACGCGAGCTTCTCTCTGTAAGTAGGGGTAAATGACCCAATTACTGCGCACTCGACGGTAACTGAAAATAAGAAAAACAGACTGAAAAATTTTTGGGCTTGGATATTGTAACACGTAAGGACATTAATAACGTTCAATCCAGAATCATACTTTACATCATGAAATTTATAATTGTTTAATTGAGTGACTCTAAACGAATATAACCTACAAAACATTGTAGTCGTAGTGATTGGTGCGCAGCAATTGGGTCTAGGGCTTCAGCATGAAAACCTTATGGGAGATACCCGCGCAGTAATTGGGGGTGCAGCGACTGGTGCTAATTTTATAACCGTGCGCAGTAATACCAGCAAGTGATATCAGCACTAAAACAATTATTAAAAAAAAAAAAAAAGTTACTCAACAGAAAAATGTTTGTCGTTTTAATCACACAAGATGCTGCAGATAAAGATTAAGTAAAACTGGTTCAATTAACATCGAAAAACATTGAGAAATGAGAAATTTAGTACAATCAAAAATTTCAGTGCGCAGTAATTGGGTCATTTACCCCTAGGTATCTTTGTTCACCTGAACCTATCGCGAATCGCCGTCATTAGTGCAGCGTTTCTACGAACTGAGCCGATTTATTTTTAATCATTTCGTGAACATCTAGTGTCTTTCGATTACCAGTCAACTCCAGGGCTGCTCATTTCTATTTTTTTTAATTCATCACTTTTTTTTTTACAACAATATCGATAACCTGTGCTTCGTTTACAATTTATTTTCAACGCTAAAGTATGTTACTCAATTTAATTTTAAATTTATTTTATCAATTTAAATAGTATAGTTAATCATAGAGTTAATTAGTTTTTNTTTTTTATTGATTCAATAAACTATGATTATTACGTCGTAAATAACCCATGATTGATTGTTATTGCATGATTTATCAGCTTCTGTGTTTTTTTTTTTTATTTACTCAAGTTACGTCAAGTGCGTATAAATTGACGAAAAAAAGCACTTGATACCCGTTAAATAAACAATCAGAAAAATTTATAGCATCAGCTGTAATTGTTTCCGTGATTTATAATACCGCGATAACTTGCGAAACGAACTCGCAATGTGTAAAATAAAATAAAACGCTGGTAAAAAGCATCAAAATAAAGTTACATCAACTTTTAAATTCGCGCACGCACGTATCTATCTTTGTTTTCCTGCGAACACTCCTTAATATTCGGTAAACACTAAATGTTAATTTTTTTTCCCCCCCAAAAAAAAGGAGGAATGTTTTCAAAAGCACCCGCATAAACATGAATATTTTCAAATTCACCATCCGTATTGTTGGACTTGGATTAAAAAAAAAAAAAAAAAAACTCGTACGATCGCGCGATAAGAGTTTTGAGATTAAGAAAGGGGAAAAAAAATGTATCATAACATTGAGCGATATTTGTGCAGTTGCCGGTACCTCGATCGTATTATTACATTCTCGCGCGTTTGAAATGACGATGCATCGACGGAACCTATGTACATTGTGCTAAAAACAAGACGCGAGGGTCGAATCATTGGAAGTCGACGTCACTTTGCCAGAACGCGATCCACCATCGAACCTGATTGACTCAAAAAAATCGGTAGTACCGAGCAAACAGAGTCTTGCGACCAACGTAACATCTGTGTACAGCAATAACCGGAGTTTCGTAAAATAAGAAAAAAAAAAAAAAAAAAAAAAAAAAAAAAAAAAAAACATATTCATAATGATTTGTTGATACAAATAGACCTTGGAATATATACTTTTAATATCCAGAAATTATTAATTTTTATCAGACGTACGTATATATGTATGAAATTCATGTTTTCATGGCTAAGCTACAACGTATTGAATAATTGATGAGTACACGACCTATAGAGTGCGAGAGAACGAAGCGGCTTTTGTTTGAATATACTCACTGCATGCATGTCAGTGCCTATTAAAAAAAAAACACAAAATATTATACACATTGTAAGAAATGGTGGGTAGGAGAAGCGGAGAAAGTGAGACTGAAAGGTATACGTGATCGTTGAATGGCAATAAACGCCCCGTTAATGCTGATTAAATGATCGTAAATGCATCTCAAGTACACCAACACACAGAGAAAAGACATACGTATTATACAGCAGTCAGTCATGCAGCTCGACTGGGAAGCCGGTACGTAGGCAATTCCACGAAAACTTGGATCAATCGGGGATCCCCCCGAAAGTTATACATATACTTAAAAAAAAAATATATATTTCCCTCTTTCGTGCACCTCGACAAATACTTTGAGGAAAATATATACGTGAACATAAGGTGAGACATGACACGTACCTACTTTGTAAACTTGGTAAAACAAATTTTTTTTTCCAAGCTTCCCTGGTCTATTCCAAGCAAAAAACGTTGATCACGATTTTTTGTGAACCCCATAAGTTCCAAAATACGGCATTTCATGATTGAAATTGAGCTTCAGAGGAAACGAGGTTTTCTATGATTGTTGTGGCAGACCATGAAAAACCATGAAGCTCGAAAGTCGAAAGGATTATTTTGAACAAAAGCTCGAAAAAGTCGTGCAACGAGCACCCGAAAGATCTACTTAAAAAAAATAATAATAATAATAATAATAATTCAATTTCCTGAACAAAGTTATTCCGTGGAATCTCCCGTACAAGCCTCCAACTGCACATGCGTCTCCGTGTCTCGTTTCGCGTGGGAGGCCCTTTCGTGTATACCTACGCGCATACTATTTTTTCCTTTCTATTTCCCTTCACCGCTCGATCTCGCGCGCCTTTTTCCCGACGATGTGGCGCATCTCTTGGCTGCACGTCAAATAAAACCGTGATCCCCGTTTTTGTCTCCAAACGCCTCGATGGCAATCGCGACGAGACGCGCAAGTGACAACTGCAACGGTGCAACCGCATATATATATTATACAGTACAATACACGATGATGGATTGCATTGTACAACGTCAAATGAGTGCGTGGAGAAGTGGGTGTGTTTGATGGCTCCGTCGCTCACCTGCGCCTATACGTGTTACAAAGGTATATTATTTACACACGCGTTGGTGTGTGCGTATACATACACACGCTTGCATGCATACATGGATAATAGGCACTTCTCGGGAGGAGAGAGGGAGGGAAACGAGAGCAGAGTCGCGGATAATTGAATTCCGTCTCTTGTACGTGTATACCTGTGTGAACTCTATACGCGGCCGTAATACCCCTGCGTGATGTCCCGGTTGTGTGGCTCATGCAAAGTTGACTGATGGCAAGCTTCTTTATTACGCGAAAATTTACAATTATATTTACAAAATATATCTGTGATTTTGTTCTGCCCTCTCAAGTGTCGGTTTGCAGGAAAATCAATTGATACGAGTACTCGGGGGATGGGCGCGTACGGCATTAAATGTGAAACTCTGTGAGCCGTGAAAATGTGTACTACCGATTGTACGTATGTATAATGTATTTAAATCGAAAGTAAAACTCGATGGAAAACTCTCGGAGTGAAAGTAGTGCATCAAGTGCTCGATTTTTCAAATTCACGCACTTTACGCAAAACAAACTCGTTCCCTGGCACTTGCGATTTTTGGAAAACGCAAATTCATTATTTTTCAACAAACAGTAGTTGTTGTGTGTTGTCTTGTATCGGAAAAAAAACAAAACAATCAATAGTTGGCGGATAATACATGAAAAATGTTTCAATCCGATTATTAAATGTGGGCCATTGCCGCAACCCACATAAATAATCGAATTTACCTAATAACCGAATTGAGAGCACGTATACTCATTAATTTATAAACTACATACAGATATGTCTTTTTGCGTGGTACTACCGCAACTGAAATTTCTTCTTTTTTTTTCCCTTCTGTTGCAGATGAGCATCGATATACTCGATAGATAGTCGTTGCAACGGAGATCAAGGAAAGCACGATGGTACGAAGTCACAAGTTCGACAACAATACACTGGATGTATTGAACAAGGGATGCCTGGACCTGTACGACGAAGTGGCGTGCGGCCGGATCAGCGTACTGGTCATTCTGAGCGTCGTCACCCTCATATTCGTCGTACTGAAGATCATCAAGTACCACAGCTACAAGCACCTGCAGATACACCAGTACGCCATATTCTACATAACGGCCATAGAATGCATCGTCTGGTAACTATTATTATCATTTTAATCGATTAGACGATAAAAGCAGCAACGTACGATCGTCATTGTGAAATTGCAGCGCTGCCACTTTCATATTCGGGATCCGGTATCCCCAGCTACACTTTGCCACGAACGTCTTGAAGCTCTACCAGTTCATCTTCATTTGCCACTTTTACTGGTCAATGGCGGCCAGATCGCGGCACAGGGACGGAGTAGTGCACCACGTGATCAACCCCGTGCTCTGTCTGTACGCGCTGTACTGCATCACCATAGCGTTGATGGGCATGGTCGACATCAGCGGAACGTGGACGGTCTGCTTCAGTAAGTCATAGATGACGAGAATTTCTCGCTTTTGGACATAATGTGTATATATATAGTATATACGTATGTACGCGATGCATCGGCTTTTATTTCCTCCTAACCGCAGGACCTTACTGGCTGATGCTGTCTAGCGCCGATTTCATAGCGGTTCAATTGTTCGCGATGGTCGCCCTCTACGTCACCCACAGCAACAGACAGCTGGTTATATCGGCCCTGATGGTTCCCTCCTCCTCATCGCGGACCAGAGACTTGTGGTTCATCGCGGTCGTCTACGAAGTATCAGCCGCCGTCTCGGTCGTCTTCGACGCGGTCATGATTCTGAGTGAGTGCGCGTTATAATGTCTGTTACCTATGGTCAGAGTGACATTGCTTTTTTGTTTTGTTTCTCCAGTGGGCAAAGACGAAAACGGGTGCAGCGGCATCTACAACCACGTCCAGCTGTACTACAGCACGCTGCTGACGGTGATCATCATTTTCAAGTACTTCTTGCCGATCTGGACGCTTCTCTGCGTCTTCCAGCCGAGTAGGGTTAAATCGCGACTGTCCGAAGTGGCACTGACGTCCCATTACAACATGGTGAGCGACGAGATATACTTGCGGGTTTTTGTTTGTTTTTTTTTTTCGAGTGCCAAAACCGACGTTGGTGTTTCAGAGCGGCAGGTGCAACAATCCGAACCATCGGTTCTTCTTGACGACGTGGTCGGCGCCAGGGTCTATCCTTTACCCGTCGCTGTCCTACTCGGCGAATTCACCCATGTTCGGGACCCTCGGTGACTTTTCTGACAGTTCGCCCGACGCTTCGCCCACCACGTCTCGCTACTGGACGAAGATGAACGACGACGCGTACTGCGGCTACGAGAAGCACTTTGTCAACGTGGACCACCAGAAGGACATTCTGGAGAGCCAGTACAGGATGGAGCAGAACCTGCAGTACCTCGAGAGGAGTCTGGCCGGGGATTTGGGGGGACAGCCCGCCCACGAGAGGAACGCTTTGGTCAACAGTAGTAGATCCTTGACTACCATTAACGAGGAGAACGCCAACAACGCGGACAACCCGACGGAGTGAAGCCATACATTTTTGATGGCTTGTACTGTTTGCACATTACACGCTAATGATACTGTACCAAACCTAGTCGAAAAAAAAAAAAGTGGTAACTTGCGACGAAATCACTACTTCGTTCGTCAAGTGTATTTGACTTGTAATATGCTCCCAAATAATGATTGCGCGTGCGTGTGTGTCTCATCCCGGGATTGATATTAACACTATTGAGAATCATCGAATGGAAAATCAAAAAAACGCAAAGCGACATTTGCAGAAAAATCCATCCTTCCAAATGCTGTGATTTAAAGAAAAGAATAACAAAAAGGAATAAGAATAAACAAAAAAAAAAAAAAATACTCAAGGTATAAAATAATCGACAAGTTTTATCGGCACTCAACAACTCGAGTTGTTTTCGAGGAAATTTTTCACGTTATTATTACCGAGCGATTCGATTTTTCGATCGCGACTAGATTTATAGCGTACACGGTACATATATACATACATAGATCTGTGTATCACAGTAGAATAACAAAAACCAGGAGGAATATCTTTTTGTAATTTCGTTAGTTTTTCGTATAGAAGAGTGGAAAAATTTTATCTCGATGTGCTACGTGCGATAATCAAACACTCTCGTATAGCAAAGATTCTTGTAACTCTATATGTAGATTGTTACAAGGCAAAGTGATAGTTATATTCGATATCGATATACCCTGTAGATGATTGTTTGAACAATTGATTATGAATGTTCGTACGGCACTTTAGTGCTTTGTTGAGACCGTCAAATTTTTTACTTGATCGTTTGTCGAAAACAAAAACAAAAACAAAAAACGTCCAGAATTTAACAATTTCAATGTGCCAAATGTGGTAATTGTTCAGATAATCAAATGATTAAAAATACTCGGCTGATTTGTAAATTCGTGCGAAAATAAAAACAAATTACAAGTAAAAATTAACAAGATAAGACTGAAAAACGAAATGGCCTGTAATATTTTATGATTTATTTAAAAATGATTTCACTTATCGCGTATTAGTATAATTTATTTTAAACGTAGTATTTAACCAATAGTTAAAAATCGTGCAGACTTAGCAAGACATGCTAGATGGAGATTTTTTTTAATTTGTACGTCTCTTTCAAAGTACAACGACGAGAGTGCGTTTCCCAGTCCAAATTACATGCATGCGCAAGTATTTTTCGAAATACGTAAAACGACGCTCGGTTATTCGATAAGTTTTTGTATAACGTGAAAACAATGTAAATAAACCAATCATAGATTTTATTGATACGTAAACTTACCAAATGTTGAAAACACTCAGATTTTCAAAACAAATATATCGCAAGTTTATTAGTTTCATGTGAACTTTTGTCCCAAATATGCCAAGCATGTATATGATAGCATACGTTATAAGGCCTCTTTCGCACTTTACGTGCACTATACGTATAACACAGAATAGTAATAATAATAATAATAATGATAATAATAATAATAATAATAATAATACGATCGTGTCATTTGGAAATAGGTTATAAAAACCGAGAAATATGTATAATTTATTGGCATTTAAATGTTCATAGTATATAGAGGTGAAATGACCAATTTTGAAATTTTAATGACGAAATACGTTATAGCTTTTTTCGCATTGCTACCAAATATTACATACTTTATGGATTATAATGATGTTGTATACGTTGCGTTAAAATTTAAAGATTTTCTGTATTTTATTTTTATTTTCAACCGTTTGATTTTATTACTAAACACAAAATGATCAATTGTAAATATAGTTTTTGATCAAAAAGATATTATGTATTATAATTTTTTATTGATTCAATAAACTATGATTATTACGTCGTAAATAACCCATGATTGATTGTTATTGCATGATTTATCAGCTTCTGTGTTTTTTTTTTTTATTTACTCAAGTTACGTCAAGTGCGTATAAATTGACGAAAAAAAGCACTTGATACCCGTTAAATAAACAATCAGAAAAATTTATAGCATCAGCTGTAATTGTTTCCGTGATTTATAATACCGCGATAACTTGCGAAACGAACTCGCAATGTGTAAAATAAAATAAAACGCTGGTAAAAAGCATCAAAATAAAGTTACATCAACTTTTAAATTCGCGCACGCACGTATCTATCTTTGTTTTCCTGCGAACACTCCTTAATATTCGGTAAACACTAAATGTTAATTTTTTTTCCCCCCCAAAAAAAAGGAGGAATGTTTTCAAAAGCACCCGCATAAACATGAATATTTTCAAATTCACCATCCGTATTGTTGGACTTGGATTAAAAAAAAAAAAAAAAAAACTCGTACGATCGCGCGATAAGAGTTTTGAGATTAAGAAAGGGGAAAAAAAATGTATCATAACATTGAGCGATATTTGTGCAGTTGCCGGTACCTCGATCGTATTATTACATTCTCGCGCGTTTGAAATGACGATGCATCGACGGAACCTATGTACATTGTGCTAAAAACAAGACGCGAGGGTCGAATCATTGGAAGTCGACGTCACTTTGCCAGAACGCGATCCACCATCGAACCTGATTGACTCAAAAAAATCGGTAGTACCGAGCAAACAGAGTCTTGCGACCAACGTAACATCTGTGTACAGCAATAACCGGAGTTTCGTAAAATAAGAAAAAAAAAAAAAAAAAAAAAAAAAAAAAAAAAAAAAAAAAAAAAAAAAAA